TACAGCTAACAAATGTTTGTTGCACAAACTGCTTCATGAAACATAGTGCTACAAAGTTCGCTCGATGACTGCCTCTGACATTTGGCATAATGGCGTTTTGAAGGTGGTCAATTATGTGTGAAAAGATGAAGCAACAATTCTCGAGTTGTTTGATTTTTCACAATAAACAGCATTGCACTGGTATACTAAGATTATGCTAGTGGTAGGTAATATGGCCTTCTCAACCTGAAAATAATATAGTCATGTCATCTAAGTCACAAAATGCAAACCTTACAGGAGAGCTATTTTTCGTGTTTGTGTTTTGCCTAACATTTCTGAGAAATTTTGGACATAGAATGCTTTACTGGAAAAAGAGTATGACAAGTCCATGCAAGTCGACTTATATTTTTTGCTGACATTGGAATTACAGTAGCTCTGTAGGTGATTATCTGCTCTAGTCATAGTTCTGCAGCAAAATGACGCGCCTCAAGTTGTTACGCCTAATATCGTTCAAGACCAGTAGTGGGGGAACGTTTGCGCAGGGACTTACAATACCTCTGCATGCAATGTAGGTGACTATGACCTACAATTACGTGTTAAAATATGAAAAATGAAGAATTTGGATATACAATAAATCTGCATTCAGGCGACGATTTACACTGGACCGATTTTCAATAACTACAAAGCTTATTCGTCCTTGGCATAGTGGCAACCTTGTGTAAAAATTTCATTAACATTCGAGACGGGCCGAAAATTAGCAAACAGACAGACACTCATACAGACAGATCGACATACCGATGTAAGTAAGTAATGTACATGTCATACAGAGTGATTCACAAGTCGTGGACTTTATTAAAAGGATACGGGGTATTGGAGTTCAAAAATTAAAAACATTTTTTAATATCTCCAAAACCGTCAACTGGAATGCACGAAAATTTGATATGGGGATTTGCTTAACTATTGTCCACATTAAAAAGTCTTTACCTAAAATTAACGTGCACCAGTGGCGGAGATACAAAGGATTAGCAGCACTATTTTTCAAAATAAAAATAGTACGCTACTGTTTTTTTTTCGTAACTAGCAATTTTTAGAATTCAACCTTCATATTTATACAAATAATTACTTTTGCGTTTTTTCCTAGAGTGCATTGTTTTCGTAAAAATAAATTAGCTATTCGAAGCTTTATTTCAGTAAATGTTCAAAAAGACCATTCTGACGGATACAGGTGCAGCATCTATTTAATATAAAAAAAACGTATTTACGGCAAAATTGTTGTGGCTTGAATTTGACGAAACGCATTATGTATTCTTTCTTGTAACTGATCACCAGTATTAATTTGTTCAGCATACACTAGTTGTTTAAGAGCGCCCCACAAAAAGAAATCCAGGGGGTTCAAATCAGGAGACCTCACGGGCAAATGTTCGGGTCTGTTTCTGCCAATCCATCGTTGTCTAAAATGATTATTTAACCATGTGGTTAAGTCACGACGAACATGCGGTGGGGCACCGTCGTACTGATGTCACATTAGTACGTTGCTAACGGAATATCATCTAACACATGTACTATGTAATTCTCTAGAAAAGCCAAGTATGAGTTTGCATCTACACGTTGTGGCAATACGTGCATAAGCAGTTGGCCATTAAAATGCCGCACCAGACATTTCCAGAAAGTCTTTGTTGGAACGTGTTGCTTCTTATAGAACGGGGATTTTCTAACGACCAGATATGTTTATTATGAGAATTTAAGGTTCCACTCCTCGTAAAAAGCGATTTATCTGACAACAAATCCAAATCAATAAAATCTGCATTTTCATTATGCATTTGGAAGAACCACTCACGAAAATGTCGCCGTTGCATTTCGTCGCAGCGTTGCAGAAACTACACATTTTGCCGATGGTAAGGATGTAAAACTTCTCGATTTAAAATTCTCCACGCAAGACTTTGGGAACACAGTAACTGCGCTGCAATCCGCCTACTACTTGTACTAGGAAAATCCAATGCCAAATTGATCACTCTCAGTTCCTCATGAACAGTATTCCGCACCAAATGGCCTCTAACTCCGGGAAGTTTGGCAATTCCATATTGCGGAAGTCTTAGAAACGATTTTTATCTCATGAATGATCTAATTTGTTTTGTTTTTATTTATACGAAAACATGTGTATGATGTTTTATTTTTGATTACCACTTGTGAATCACCCTGTATAACATCCAAAAACCATAATTTGATTTTTGACATTTCGCGCGATTACAATTCTTCCTCGCCCAGTGGTAATCATTCGTCATTTGTTTGTCTGGGCGGTCCGTAGGACCTTTGCCCATTAGTCGAGTCTGTCGGTCCTGGTTGCCCAGAAACCAGACAATGTCAAGGAAAAATAGAAAGGAAAAGAGAAGAATCAAGGAGGAGAGCAAAGAAAAACAGAAGTGTTTAGTTTAAGAGGAAACGCCTAGGCTTTTTGACTTGGTACACAGACTGATTTTGAGGTGAACTAAACAAAGTTTGATTCGGTTTTGGTAGAGTGTAATTCTAAGTTCACTAAAAGTTCGCGCTAATTTTTTATTACAGTGTGAACCGTGGCCTTGAATGCTTACGAACTTGCTCCACTGTGTAGTCCACTGAGTCACGCAACAGAGGGTTGCTGTGCGATTCCGCTTGACTATAACGTCGCTGCGCCTGAAGCTTGACATAATCCCTCAAGTAAGGAATGTCAAGGTCTCTGTGTAGTGTCTCGTTTGAGACATACCATGGAGCGTTGCAATATGCTCGCAATCTTCTGCTTTGCAGCACTTGAGGACATTGAATGTGTGTCTTGGCAAGGAAACACCAAGCCGCACATGCATAAGTAATGGCTGGTCTAATAATCATTTTATATAGGCGACATTTGTTTATAAAACTCAATTTGAAGGATCTACATAACAGAGGATGAATATAGTTGCCGAAGCGCAATTTGCAATTTTGTTTTCCATGCCTTTATCAAGGGTTAGACCGAGGTACTTGGCCGAATTTGTCCATGGTAATACGATTGCCGTTTACAGAAACCTCTGCTGGGGGGGGTGTGACGTTTTTTGGTACAATCAATAGCCTGCGTATTCGAATGATTAATTTTAATCTTCCACCGTTCCGCCCACTCTAGTACTTCGTCCACCGCACTCTGCAACCCATCGTGAACCAGATCACCAGTACACAACTGGGCGACAAGTGCAGTGCCGCCAAAATAAAGGAAGACTTCACAATTACTGGGGCAAGGGACATCATGGATAAAAAGCGAATAAAGGATTGGTCCTAGAACCGAGCCCTGAGGAACACCGGCCCGAACTGACCATGTTGTTGACAATATACTGTTAATTTTGATCCGACACTTCCTTCCTTCAAGAAAAGATTTCAGTAATTTTTTAAGCCAAAAAGGAAAACCCTTTTGGACTAGTTTATAGAAAAGGCCCGCGTGCCACACCTTGTCAAAGGCTTTTGACAACATCCAAAAGCAAGATGGCAGTACTCAAGCTAAGGGTGAATCCTCTGGTTACATGTTCCACCAGCCTGAGTGCCCGTAGCTCGGTGCTATGTTCGGACCGAAAACCGAATTGAACATCAGGAATCACATGGTGATTCGCCCAGTGGTATGGCAAGTAACAACGGTAACTCAATTTTATTTCCTGAATGAATGATTAGCTTTGTGATACATTTTTTTGAAGAGTATGGTGAATCCAGCGTGTGATTTCACAAAAATTGTACATAACTTCTTTTCACATTAAGATCTCGATCGACACAAAAGTATTGGGCACATGTTGCCAGCTGAAATGCCTGCAGCACAAGTCTTGGCATAAGCTGCAGTAGAAGATGCATGCCGCAATCTCTTGGCCCATTTTAGACCCTGACGCTACGAGTATTTCAGCAACGTTTTGCAGATGAAAAAAGTATCAGACACATGTTGGACGCGCATCTTTATCCTCGTGCGGCATTGATGCTGTAATATGTTTCAATCTGTTTCCACATCTGGAAAACGTTCTAGCGCAAATCTGTTGTAATGGAAGCATATCTTAAGGAGCATTAATATCGATACACTTAGCTGGTAACAGACTGCTACTTTTGCCCGACAATAAAACACTTCGAATGTGTTCCCCGAAAGCCCATACATTTTTTATTCGCTAGAAATTCGATTACCACCTTCTGGATGAAAGAGAGAGATTGTTTCTAAATAGAAGGCATTGCTCCTCATCCACGATTTGTTTTTCTGTTTGTTCCGAGATAATAGGATAACGGCTCTTACGCTTTTTCCATTATCCTTCTCCACTTGAGGCGTTTTACCCTCGTGACGACCCAGTTAGTTTGAGAGTCAATACCGTTGCGAGATAATTTTCCAAGGAGATAAGGTGTTAGTGGCTATTTTCAGACGTGGCTAGTCTAGATGTACTTACTTGTGCCCAAACCCTTTGATTCTGATAAGGCTAACGTCATCTGACGAAGGCCCCAGTAGTGAGAGGTATGGATTGATAAACCGTATTATACGGCACCCGTATTATGTAAAACAATAGATATGGTAACGATCTGATCGTCATAATTCACATTAGGTGCTCTAGCTAGTCAGAAAGCCTATGCCACACCTATTAGCGGTGACGCCACCTATGGGGAAATGTCACAACGACCATCATTTGCCTGAACTCGTGCTATAACCCACATTTAACTACCATGATAATGTGGGTTGCAAGCTGCTGGGGTAGTGTATAGAGCAGTCGTCTACAACCCATTGATCGCGAGCTACCGGTAGCCCGCAAAGGCAATTCTGGTGACTCACAACATATTTAAAAAAAAATCATAGAAGCTTTCGTAACACTGATGAGCGATCTGATCGAGAACGATCCAACGATCCGGATTGCTTTGAACGGAATAATTACACAAGGCGCGGGTACAGAGTAAAATATTCCAATATCGAAAATGGTGGCTTGACAACTGATGGTGCTCCACCTATGGTGGGTCGTGATAAGGGTCTCGCGGGGTTATGTCGTAAAAATGAAAGTTTTCCGCAGTTTCTGTGTTACCACTGCATTATCCATCAGCAAGCGTCATGTGGACATTTTCTAAAACTAACAACGTTATGAAATTGGTAGTAAAGATTGTGAACAAGATTAGAGCTGAAGCGTTACAAAGAAGATTATTCAAAACTTTGGTCTATGAAATTGACTGTCAATACGGGGAACTACTTCTTCACTCTCGAGTCCGATGGTTAAGTAGGGGACGAGTGCTGAAAAGTTTTAATGATATCGTATCTGCCATAGTTCGATTTTTCAAACAACATGATGAACCGATTCCGGAACTGGAAGATTCAATCTGGCTTAGGGATTTTGGTTTTCTTGTGGATATTAAAGAAAAATTAAATGAACTTAATTTGCAGCATCAGGGAAGAGACAAAGAACTAGCAGAAATGATTTCTGATGTAAAAGCGTCTATCAAAAAGCTTTGGGAACAAAACTCTAATCAACGGTGGTACCAGGCATTTTTCTGTTCTTTCAGAAAATATATCTCAAAGTCGATTAGAATCACATAACAATATCATGTAAAAAAATAGTCTCTAACTTGAAGGATAAGTTCAAAAATTATTTCAAGGATTTCAACGAAATTGCTATACTGGTGCAATTTTTTGTTTCATTATTCATGGAAGTTGATATCCAACAGTTTGCAACTTCTGTGACGCAGAATTTCAGCAGCGATAGAAATGGAAGTGATTGCGTTTCAAAATGATTTAGCTTCAAAATCGTTAGTCTCAAATAAAAAATGTATCTGGCCTTCAGTAAGTAAAGATACATATTCAGCTTTATGTTATGTTGCCTTGAAAGTGAAAGAGTTATAAATAACAACCTATTTGTGTGAATCTTCTTTTTCAATTATGGAGTTTATTAAAAACAAATACCATAATCGACTTATAGATGGGCGGTATCATACAAATATTAAAAAAATGTTCAGTGATTCTGAGTCTCAGGCTTCTCATCGAACACGCATCTTTATCTGGACATGTTTTGTTTAAAATAGTGCGTTGCTTTTTTTATCTTTAGTTACCTTTATTAAATTGTATGTGACATGCCATTGGAGCTGACGAATATTTTTGTTTATTTTTAAAACATCTACGATTTATCAGTATGTATTAGTATTTACATTGTTTACGACTAGCTAGCTCACTGTTTATTTCAAAATTATCAAAGTAGCTCAACACACTGAAAAGGTTGACGACCACTGGTATAGAGTATACTTTTCATAGATTACGGTCTCAAGTCAGTGTAGTTAAAGCAATCACCGACGTTAGCATCATCTACGTGCACTTTATAGCTTATGCCATAGAAGCTATGAATGGCCCGTGCTAGTGCCTTCTCTGAAGCAGATGTTACATAGAAGTCAAGCAGATCATAAGAACCGTACATATTATCTGACGTTTAGACTATAAGCACAGTTAAAGGTAGAGGTACATGTAATGATATTTTCGCTAAGATTGGCTAAACTAACAGTCAGGCTCGGTTTTTCAATCGCAGGTTAACTACGACCTTGGTCTTAACTTATAGTTATTTATGAAAAAGCGTTTTTCAATATCATGTTTATAGTAAAACGGAAGTTAACTTTAACCAGAAGACCATCTATGAGTTAACTAGAAAGGCTGTAGTTAAATAGCAATACCTGACGTTTTTTGACATAACTTTGACGTTTATTCAAAAAGTCACAACAAATCCATATCAATCTATCGATAAATTTAAGCTACAAACATGTTTATTTATGGATTAAGACGTGAATGCGTATAGCAGTGACGAAGACGCGAGAAGGCCAAAAATAATCGGCCGAATTACTTTGATGAATTTGATGACCTCGATTTCCTTGCAAGATTTCGTCTTACAAAAAGGACTGTAGAAGCTCTCCTGGACGAAGTCTATGAAGATTTAGTATATCCTACAAGCAGGTAGATGTATATATTATTGTTTATTTCCATATTTTTACATGACTTTGTCATTCCAGGAATAACTGCTAAACGCTCCAACAGCAACTGTTGTTAGCACTGCGCAATGGAAGTTTTTTAACTGTTGCTGGACATTTTGCTGGGGTTTCCAAAACAATTGCATCCAAAACAGTCCGAAGATTCTTAAAAGTACTAACGAGTAAAAGAAGTAATTACATAAAAATGCCAGATACTCTTGTCCTTTTATAAATAATATAGCTGGGTTTCCTCAATGCATAGGTGCAATTGACTGCACGTATATAAACATTGTTTCTCCCGGAGGAAGCTATGCAGAGCTCTTCAGAAATCGAAAGCAGTTTTTTTCACTGAACTGTTTCTGACGCAGATTCATACATTTTCGGAAATTCTCAGCTCTGCAGACAATTTGAATCAGGTCACTTTGGCAACTCTTTGTTGGCTGGTGACAAAGGTTATCCTATTAAATGCTATTTGATGACACCATTAAATACAACTACAACTCCTGCTGAAGAATTATACAATGAATCTATCACTCGTAGTCGCAATGTTATAGAGAGAAGCTATGGAGTTTGGAAAAAAAGATTTCCATGTCTAGCTATGGGTCTCAGAGTTCATCTAGATACAGCTCAAGCAGTTACTCTAGGAACAGCAGTGCTACATAATATTGCTTATCCTAATAATGAAGCTATGCCCCTATTAGTCCTGAACAGGAAAATGCTATTGACATGGTTCATGTAGATAATGTGAAGACAGATCCTGTAAATATTAGGTTGACACAAAATGCAATCAACAATGTTAGAACGTACCTTATTAATAATTATTTTGCAAATTTGTAAATCGATTCAATACATTCACTGATGCTCAGTGAATGACTCGATGCTAGATGAAAGTTGTTTAGTATAAGATCTGTGATAATCCATGGCAAGTGGATAAGAGTTGTGGCCAAAATTGCTGGTGTCCAAAAAAGGTGCACACGCCATTTGAAAATAGATGTCCCAAGCCTCAAAATGGACACTCAGTCGATCCTTTTGGACACCTAAAGTTTTGGCCATAGCTCTCATCTGACATATTTATTATCCCCTATTTATTGTAATTACAGAATGAAAATAAACATGTTTTTCTGAAAACAGTTTATTATTAAACTGACATATTATCCTCAAAAATGCGAAATACAAAAAAAGTGAAAGTGCAAATATTCCAGAAATTAACAAAATAAATCCTTTGTTTTCTACTTATCGAATGCATTGATCTGTAAATCCAACAGCTGAACCTTTTTTTATATATATTTACATTTTTTATTGTGTTCTTCGATGAATTTTTCTTTTTGTAGTTTCAAAAAATTCAGCTTTTCTTCCGTTAGTAGATAGTTAACAGAAATATATTTTTTATTTTGTACCGTTTTCGTACATGATAGCTTTGTAGTTTTGGGCCTCTTCAGTTGTTGGGGAGTATAGGAGCTCCATTTCCCATTATTGAAGACCACTTCACTGTCATCACAGTTATTTGGATAAGGAACTAAAAAATGAATAATTAAAAAAGTTTCAATCAACAGCAATGAGACTTACCATGTTCAGTAACCACCTCATCTTGGTCACTACACTCATCATCATAATTGTTTGTCAAACCTTCTAATTGTGGTCCCATTATTTCTTGTAGTTGTGAATCAATCAGATCGAATGCTTGCAATTGGCATGAGTATTGTGAATGACTTTTAATAAAACTCGGTTAGTAGGGTTTTCGTTCCCTGTTCCCTTGTCGCCCAGCCTCAAAGTGTATGCACAAACAGTATTTATCTATTCTAGCTATGTAGATCCAATCCAAAGCTGATGAAAATATAATCAAGATAACGAGTTCTGGAGATTTTGTGATACAGCTTTTTCTCACGGAGAGGGAGTGACTGTTTGTGCTGGGGTGAAAATAATATTTCCCCTATACAGGGTATTTTAAATTCGACACTCGCCATTGGGATGTCGCAAAATTTCAGCTGATACGAAGTCACTTAAATAGGGGCCAAGTTGCGATTTCGGATAATCAGCAAAATGTCGCTTAGAAAGTTTTGAAATTGAAAGTACAACGAAAGAGAGGTAGAAAATGAAATTTCCCAAAATGGTTTTAATTCTCTCCTGATTTTATTTGTGGTGGCATTTCAAAATATATTGCAAATGAACTCTGGCACATTTTCTCCTCTACAAGATGGCACAATTAGAATTTCAATATAATTGACTAGATTTCATTTTTTGCATAGCAACAGAGTTTGCAATACTGTGAATATATCGGCTTATTTACGGTTATTATTGTTATTACCATCAAAATTTTCATTTCGTATTCAGGTTTCACCATACCTTTTTATTTTTTTTTAATTGTCATCCAACAACAAATTTACGGTCAACTAACAATCACTGAATTTAGGGCTTAAAGGTCAATTTAAATGTACAAAATTCCAATATAGTGTCCGTACGAAGAAACAAATTTGACGATGGAAGTCGAAAAAAGGAATGTCGAATTGAGAATATGACTACGCCATCTTGCAGACGAGAATAAGTAACAATGACAATATGCAATTTATTGTGAAATCCCATCTCGAATAGAGTCGGGAAAAAATTGAGCGGTTTTGGGATAAATCTAAGAAATTCTGTTTTTCTTAAATCAAGGTTTGACAACGTCAATGTATGACGTATTATGCATTTTTTGAATCAAAATTAAAAACTCTATTTATCTGTGCAAAAATGCAATATACCGTCCTTAGGGAATGATAAAGTTGATGCTGGAGGACAAGAGACGAACCGTCATATAGAAATTCTGATTATGCCTTCTTGTAGAGGAGGAAACGAGGCATTGTTAATGTGCAATTTATTTTAAAAACTCAATATAAATTTAGTCAGGAAAAAACAGAACAATTTTGGGAAAATTCGGTTTTTGCGTTACTCTACGGAAGTACCTTGAATTTCGAAACCTTCTAAGTGTCACTTTGTTGATTACCTCATTTAAGCGACTTCGTATCCCTTACAGTTTCCAAGATCCCGATGGTGAGTGCCAAATTAGAAACACCCTGTATATGCAGACTCTTACTGGAAGAAACAAGTGAAAATACTACAAGGATTTAATAGCGTCTTTCAATAATAAAGGGTGTTATACATCATGGAAGAGAGCTCTGAGGAGCAAAGCCCGTTTTCGTAGCTAGATCGCCAACGGCCCGTCGGTACGAAGGTGTCCTCAGACCGTCCATTAGAGAAAAGTTCATTAAATGCGTCTTGCGAATCAATTTTAGTCCTCAAGATAGTTCCGACATACTCTGATACCTGTCGCTATCACTGGTTGACCGGTGTCCTCTGATCTGTACGAACAGCGGACTAGCTGTCGGCAAACGGTCGGAAACTGTACGAACAAGTAACATTTCTCTGATTCTGATTTTGACAGTCACCGACAAGTTACCGACTGTTGTCCGAACAAACGATAAGAGTACGGTAACGTTGGAATTGAAGAGGAAGACACTAAAGTGCCCTAAATACTATCAAGCGCAACTCGCGTATACCAAAATGCTGTCGTCAACTCAGGGGGGTACACTTTGCCAATGAAAAAATCATTATTTTCGATGAAGAAAAGTATTTCACTTTGCGTAATTCTACGGATTTTATACGGACAGTGTAGAGGAATTTCCTGACAATGTTAGATACAGGCATAAAGCGAAATTTGCAGGTAAAGTCCTGTCTGGTGGTTCCAACAGGGGTGTACCGCAACCTTTTGTGGGAAGAGTGAGGGGTGAAGCTTTTAATAGTCAGAGCTATATTGATGCTGATGACCATATTGTCTTTTGGCTAGATCTAGCATCATGCCATCTTACTTAAGCGATACCGAAAACTGGCTTCGACAACACAACATACCTTTTGTTCCCAAAAACGATAATCTTCCAAACTTGCCGTAGGCTCGCCTAATAGAGGATTTTTGGGCTTTACTGTTTAGAAGGGTTCATCATGGAGGCTGAGCAGCCCAAGATGAAAAACAGTGAACACGGTGAATTTATGAAAAACTGAGATAAATTGACCTGAATTCCGTCCAGGACCTCATCAGGGTCATTCAAAGAAACTTGCGTCTGATAGAGCAGAATAGGCCACTCTACATAATTTGTTTGTATAATTAAGTTGATTATTGAGTTGTAATTTATGATAACCAGTTAGTGTTTAAATAAATTTCTTCAATAAGAAGAAATCCGATATATATTTTGTGGAAAAAATTTTAGGACATACTCGTACGTTATCATGAATAGCTTTCGAAAGCTTTTGTTTATAAAGTATCCTCGCACGAGTTGGGACACCCTATGTATATGTAAAAGGCATACTACGAAGCTGAATACCCAGTATTATTTTGTTTATATTCAATGGGTATGTGATAAATAAGCTTTATCAGATGATACCAGATAGGCTTGCTAATTATATTTCGCTATGCTCATAATTCTATTTACAATACAAATTAAAGTTGACTTTGATTGATGCTAATAACATAGTGGTCTGATATCCATATATGATACATAAATTGATGTAAAACGTAAAACACTATGAAAGCACATATTCTGTTGAATAACAATCAATCAGTGTTGATTTAACACTTCATTATTTTTGAGAGGTATTTTATATATACGTATATATATATATATACACGAGCCCCTTCCCACTTCAGTTGGCCCACTTCAAGATTTGTACCAAAATATGCCTTTATAAACTAAACATGACGAAACTATTTACTTCTAAAACAATTTATTTTCTCAAAAACATTTTAGATACACTCTAGTCGTAAAAAATACATATTTGAAATTACTTAGACCTATAACTAATAGAACACCTGAACAAATAAACAATGTGCTAATATAAATGCGTGAAGTTAACAAAGCAACAATTGAAAGAGTACCATTGGGTAACCTCACCTTTATTTTTTATTATGGCTGAAATTCTTTGGGGCATAGTGTTAACTAAGTTTTGGCAAAAATTTGGTGTAAAACAATCCCATATTTCTTGAAGTTTTTGTCCCAGTTCGGTGATTGTATAAGCAGGATGTTGTCGCAGAACCTTTTTCATCTCGTGCCACAAAGTTTCAATATGTGACATATCTGGACTGCTAGAAACCCATTTCAAAAGTGGTACATTATTTTCTTCCATCCATTTTATAGCCTTTTTGAGGTATGGCACGCTGCATCATCTTGTTGAAACACAAAATCTTGGCCAAATGTCAGACATTTTTCCATCACTGGTAAAAGCGATTCTTCTAAAATTACCAAATATTTGTTTGTATCCACATTTCCATCAATAAAATGAAGTTTTCCTACTCCTTTTGATGACATGCTGCCCCAGACCATAATGGATGCTGGAAATTTCACTTTTCTCTTCAGATAGTCAACATGGAATGCTTAATTTTTTTTTGCGAATAACTCTACTGCGACTGTCATCGACACAAACTTCGAATCGGCCTCACTCCATTGTACAGGTATTGCACACCATTGTTGAGGTGTCCATTGTCTATATTCTTTAGCCCATCTAAGCCGATTTTTCTTTTGCAGTGAAGTTAATAGTGGCTTTTCTTTGGCCTATAAACAAGTTGTGCAACTTTAGGGTTTTTACTTTACTTTTTTTTTTATAAGAAAACTTACCTTGCAAGTGCTAAATCCCAGTTTGTGGGCGTCTCTATGAGTTGTGGACCTCGAAATTCTCCTTCCAACAGCGTCACTCCACAGAGCACTTAATTGTAAATAATTGGCACGCCTCTTTTTCACGATTATTCTCCTTAATGCTCTTCGGTCGGCATTTGTGATATTACTTTTTTTCACATATCGTGGCTTAATATTAACTGAACCGGTTACGTTATATCTTCTAACAATATTTCTCACACTGTACCGCGATAAGTCTAACAAGGTTGCAATTTCTGAGTTTGATTTCCCAGAAATAAAAAAATTAATTATCAGTAACCGAATTTTCTCACTAATAACCTTAATCTTAACTACCCAAAACTATTTTAAGCGTATTCTGACAGCTGCGATTAATAAAAACAATTGTTATGGCTTTTCACAGCCACCTATGCGTTATAGACTTATTTTGCATTGAAATGAAAATAGGTTGATATGCTGTAATTGCAACATGAGCTATTTTTATGCTGCAAATTTGATTAGGAAGTGATACAGTTGGTGTTTTCTTCATTGTTAATATTTTAAACCTATAACACCCTGCTACATTTTTATTATTTGTGTTTGATAAGAAAAAACTAAGATTTCAATAGTTGGGCCAACTGAAGTGGGAAGGGGCTCGTATATATCTGTAATATACTATCATTATCAAAACTAACAAAAATATGTTGCTACCCGATACCTTAATGTTCATAAGAGACTGTACTTATAAAAATGAACTCTATTATTAGAAAAGGTGAATGCACATCTTCTTCCTATGCCTGAATATTAGGTACGCGAGGCAAGCTAGGTTAAAGGTAGGCGTCCCACAGATCGGCAATGGATCGCATGCCTGTACTTTTCGTGATAAGCGGATTGACGACAAGCGGCATTCGTAAAATTCGAACAAGATTTCACTTATCGCTTACGTGCCAGGATGGAACTATTGCAACCGGCTGAAAGGCTGAGGCAGAAATGCTTGCCAGGATCTTTTTTGCCAACTCCGTCATGAAAGCCTCCCCTCCCCAATGCCCGAGTGCCGTCGATTCTGAAGGTTCCCTACAGTGCAAGCATAAAAAGGGTGTTCTTGTTGCT